GAACACGCGATGGGAATTTTATATGGTTAAGAGCGGAGGTTGTGTCATTGTCAAATTGCCGAAAAACATATCACTTCCACCAAGCTTTGGAAACCGTCGAGAAATCGAATTGACTCGATGAAAGAGATCATGTAGAAGGAATAGTGAGCAAGAGAGTTAAGATGGCTGACTTCTTAAACATTAACAACGACCAACTTAGGCAAGAGTGCGGATAAAACGATAAGGAATATGTTGCACCAAGCCAAACTGGTATGTGAAATGCGGAGGCATAAGACATGTAAACCTTGAAGCCGCAGTAAGCGTTGGCACCATAGGTCAGCCCTAAGTCGAAATGCAAATCTCGGGGGTAGAGATAGGAAACCCAGGCATCTTCATGAGTAAAAGCAAGGAACAATTCTAGCCCCAATTCATGCAAATGACATCAAAATGGGTCATAAGCTATTCAAATTGTACAAATAGAAAAAGTAGTGTACAAAGGACTGCTCTTTGGAAGAGGCCGTGGCAAATAAGTAGTCGTAACAAAATGAGGTGTTGTCAGTTGGTGGGATGAAAATTTCTAGAGAGTTGGTGTGGAACCATAATTGAAGCATCTAAAGAGGACCTGAGCCTCTACTCATTTTCGTCACCACCCATTTTCCATATCCCATGATAGAGATGGGCGAGCATTAAAGGAGCAAATGCATGAGAATCTCCTACAGCTAGATTGACAGCCAACGGAATATACTCCTTAGTAATCTTGTAAGATGATGTGCATCAAAAGACCTAATTGAGCCAATAAAGTAGGAATGAAATGTGTTCTCTATCCAACCACAGCAGGCAGCAATAAAAAAGGGAGTAGGCAGTAACCAACTTATTCTACGTATCAATTGGAAAGGTGTAACTTTAGCTTAAGTAAGCAGAACATTAGCCTCGACCTCAAATGGAGGAAGGATGAGGAGGGCAGATATGTCATAAATTGTGGGGCCCATCATGCCAAAGCAAAAGTGGAAGGCATTGTTCGCCACAGATCAAAATAAAAGAACCGTGTTGAGCAACAGCTTGTCCATAGGCATAATGATAATTCTAAGTTCTATAGCATCATAAATGCCAAGGCGATGCCATAAAGAACCCTTTGCCGCTTTAACACAAGCAACTCATGATATCGAATTAGAGGTAGGAGCCTTCCACACATAGAAAGGGTTGCCATTGAGCTAGTTCAACCACTGAAGAGGCTCTTGGAATTTGTAGAGACATATGAGAGTTGGGGTAGATGTGTTGCACTTCATTCAAAGGCTTCTTTTTGGAAGCAGCCTCAAGGGTCATTGCTGTCGGAGAAGGCTCAGAGAGTAGGTTAAAGGTACAAAGAGTAACATGAGTAGCTTGAACTTGATGAAAGAGCCACTTCAAGAGCAACAATACGAGGGGGCTCCATTGAAGAAAAAGGAAAGGTCAGAATGATGATAAAAAGACAAGTATAAGAACGGATTATATAGGTGTGAAGAACGAGTTGCTATAATGATGAAAAGATATGGACGGATCACGTGTCAGCCATTTATTGTAGATTTGAAAAGACGAACGATAGACCAAAAGGCTACACATAGAACATCGACTGCAATCCTTGAGCTTCACTACCAATGGAGGGATGACAACTGAGCAGGGCAAGTGTAGCAGCAAAAGTTTAAATTCAATAGAGTGTTAGTCGCATCATTTTGAGGGGGCAATGTTTAAACCCAAAAGTAGCAAAATCTGAGGGATACATGTGGAAGAGATCTAATGGTCATGAAAAAGTCTTTGAGAGCCCATACTTTTTAGAGCAATTAAAGAAGTGGGGCTTTGAGAATCCCAAAAAGCAGAGAGACGTGACATCATGAGCCATGTTTAGTGTATATCTGCACATCTAGAGAAAAAGATATGATTACAATTATGGCCATAAAATATGGCTTCGAAGGGTTAAGACCATCCCTATAAATAACCAAAGTAATGATACAGAGAAAGGATTCACGATCAAACACAACAAACTCTACATAGAGTCAGCCTTTATTATGTTTACTTGTTTCTTACTTCTGAGCGACTATTCTCTCTCTTGTAATTCATCACTCCAGTAATCTTTACTACTTTTATTTAATGTTAAGTACAATATTTGTTTCATCTTCCAAAACTGGTTTATCTGTTATTTTGCATTCCAATTTTTCTTTCTATATTTTAGTACATTACGCTGTTAATTGAAAAATTATTTAAAGTTCTTGAACCCTAATGCATAGAAAAGAACTTAAAGGTAACCTTACGCTTCGTTACAATCGTTTGAACAGTTATAATTTTAGAACCTTACATTGGTTCTAATAGGTAAGGTCGTACATGTTTGAATCTTAAGTCTAATCAGCCTTTGACATGTCCACAATCTGAAAATAAGCCAAAAAGGTAGTAAATTTCATATTATGCACAAGAAACTATCAAGCTGAGTTGAGTCTACTCAAGTTGAGCCGAATTGAGCACACATCGCTAAGATTTAACTCGTTGACAAAACAAGTTCAAAATTAAATAAGATTTTATTCATGTTTTAGTTTAAATAAATTTAAACGAGTTAAAATAAAGCTAAAATTCAGTGGTTCAGATCGTTTAACAATCTTACTTCATGTTGCTATAAGTAGACAAAGCTTAGCTTGCAAATAACATCACATCCATAGAATTATATAAATAAACAAAGCTTGCAAATAAGTGATGAGATTCATTTTTGTTAATCTTTTTTCTTTGGCTCGCAATATTTGTCAATCCAGTCGTCCAAATCTGTTGTTTGATGCCTTCAGCAAAATTTTGCAATTGGCAAACTGTGTTGGCAAAGACGCACACAAAAAAACAGGGGTATGATGGAGAGACTGGGAGAATCATCTTTAACCGCACCATGACCTGTGCGGCATCGTTGATGTCCTGATGTTCCTATGTTTTGACCAAGAGGTGGCATGGGCACAATTTGCCAAGCCAAAATTTTGGTCCATCAACTGGATGACCATCGGATTTAAAAAAAAAATTAGATGTCCCTGTACTTCTGACTGTCTTCAAATATTACTCAAATTTGTAGGTCAAATTAAAGTATGATTTATTGAATAAAAGGGGTTTATTATTTTAATATAAGTTACCGATTTAATCATTGACATTTATTTGATATGTAAATTATGAAAAATATTTTGGGAAATACCGTGGTGTTGTTGTTCAGAATTAGAAGAAGCAATCCTCAATTTTTGTTCAAAAACCAAAAAGAAGCTTAAAATATGCTGTAAATTAAACATTGCACACATATTTTTAGCGGGGGGCCGCCGCTGGGGAAGGGGGGG